AGGGAAGCTCTTGGGGGCGTTGCTGCTCAGTGCTGCTCTGGCCGCGGGAGGCTCTGCGGCCGACGGTCAGCAGTGCAGAGAGGGAGGGCAGGTGCGGATTTCTGCAGAAAACATCCACGGAACTGTATTGCCAAAAATACCTGCAGTGTTCAGGAGAGATGCCCCTTTCGGAGCAGGAGTTCGTATTTCTGGAAAATCCATGTTTGATTAACGAAAAAACACTTTCGATGGATGGGCTCTGGAATTAAGTGCTGTTGACAAAAGCTGACTTAAGCTTCCTCTACCTGGACCAGTGGGAAAACAAATTACAACGGTTGTCTTCTAGGCTGACAGAGGCAGGCTGCTATTAATAATGCTGTTATGTTCTAGTCTGTTTCCCATTAAATTTTCTCTTGGTTGTGATGTTAAATGCAGGCAGCCAGAGGTAATAAAGCAAAACAATTTGTTGTAAAATGTCATCTGGAGAAATGCAGCTTATTTTTTCTCCATGTGACAGTTTGTGTTTATATGTGAAATAGATATGATAACTGGAGGGTGTTCATCAGCATGTTGGATAGTTTTCTACTCTTTATTTTTGGTCCTGAACTAATTTTGAAACTAAATTTGAAAACTATTTGTAGTTTTCAAATAGTTTCCAATGGTATTGCACAAGAAAGCTATGCTTTACCATGGTAGCAGCACTCAGTGCCTTTGTTACTCTAGTGATGTACTGCTGAGGGGAAACTATTAAGTTGTATTAAATGTGGAACACCTCAGGTGAACTGCTTAGCAAGCTGGTGCCAGAGCAGGCAAGGCCTCCTTGCAGAAGATACGTAGGGAGGAATGTAGGAATAGTATGGGAAGAGGAGTTTACAGGCTGCCGGATTGCTGTCTTGGGCAACCTGTGGAAAAACTTTCTTTGCAGTCCAAATGCGATCAGTTGGGTAACTTTACTGTGGATTCTGAGTTTTTATACATCTTCCATGTAATAAAAAACTGGTGTTGGACAGCAACTAGAAAGCTTCAGTTCAATGTGGCAGAGTTGTCTTTGAAAATACATGTATTTTACGTAGTTCTTGTGTTGCAGTTTTCCATACGTTGACACTGAAAATGTCAGAGGTTTTAGCTAGACTTTAAAACTTGGCTTTCTGCTAATCACAAGGGAGGGAATACTGTAAGTGGGAGATTAGGGGGAAAACACCTTGGCAGAGTCTGTGAGGAGTTATCATTTGGTCTAATAAGATATACTGCTACTTTGTTAGGATCTTGACTATTTTAAAGTGTCCCTGTTACAGTGTCATAATTTAGTACAAAATTTACAACATTACTGGTAATTTAATTGCTCAGAAACATTTGTCACTGGGGTCTTCAATTATGACACTTGTTTTTTTAGCTGCTCTGGTTAGTAATAAAGAATTTTCTTTTCTTTGTGTGTAGGCTACAGAAACTGCTAGCTTGGAAGAGCAGTTGCAAGGATGGGGAGAAGTGATTTTGATCACTGATAAAGTTCTTCGCTGGGAGAGAGCCTGGTTTCCTCTGGCGCTGATGAGCGTTGTTTCCTTTTCTTTTCTGTAAGTAGCTTGTGGAGGGAGCCTAGAACACCATTGCACTTTCATAGCTGTAATAGGTAGGAAACTTATTGAGTAAATGATGAAATAACAACCTTCCTATTACATAGTTAATGATGTCTTACTAGATGTCTTTAAAAATGTAATAGGAAGGCTGTTACTCCAGGTTCTGTTTCTGAATGCGTGTGAACTTTGTTGAAAAGAAAAACCTTAAGTACTGTGAGTGGGAAGTGACATCCTGCTCGAGTCATATCCTGCTTGGAGGAGGGGCAGTGCTTTCTGCAAAAGCTGCTTGCCAGCTATGGTTGCTGTAGTTTTTTACCGTGCTCAGCTGTATGTTCTTCATTGGTGCGGTTGTATTCGGCCTTCATCCTTTGTGTCCTGCTTCTTAGCCAAATCTGGTTATCTCCTTTGGCTTTTTTCCCCAAACCAACAGCAACATCATTATGGAAGACTTGTTTCCATAGGATAAACTTTCCTATTCTGCATCTTTGATGTGGTGTTTAGGATGAGTTCAATCAGTTTTGCACAACTTGTTTTTTTACATTCTCTGTCCTGTCCTTTGAGAAAGGAGGAAAAGAAAAGACTGCAGGTAAGTTTCAGTTGGCAGGATGGGGGACTGCTTTGTGTCTCTGGAGTGCAGATAGAGCTGGCTGGCTGGAGGAGGCACTTGTATGTGCTTTTATGTAACCTGGCAGGAGTCAATATGACCCCAGCCTGCCCTGTACAGGTAAGTGTCCACACCAGCTGTGCAGTTTGCCAGTTGCATGTGTTTTTGGAGTAAGAAGAGAGGAGTTACAGAAATAAATGTTGAACCAGGTGAGGCAGAGATAATCGGTCTTCTGGCTAATATAAATTTAATGGTCTTCAGGGGAGGTGAGGAGGCTTGAAATCAAATGAAACTGAAAAGTAACTTTTCAAAGAAGTAATTGCATGAACTTCAGGGTATTCTGCTATAAATTCCGTGATTATAACAGGAAAGATCTTGTGTTGAATAATACTTTGAAGACATTAGATGGAACGACTAAGATTCTGAATTGGTAGCTATGAAAAATTTACTGGAACATTCAGCGCAGTAGCACTGTGCAAAGTGTATAGAAAGACTGGCTGTGCAGTGGACTGTGTCTTTACTTTCATTACTTCATTGTTCAGGAAGTTCTGTTAAGTGCAAATAAGTAGCACAGGGCACAGCTGAGCATTAACAGACACTTATGAGAGTGCTAGTTCTTGTCCGTTACCCATACTGCTGTATTTGAGTGATGGCACATTTCACAGGTAAAAGTGGAGATTTATGGCTCCTTGTCCAGAGCAAGTTTGGTTTGCCCTCACAGGTGTGACAGAGCAGATGACAACCCGCAGTGGATCTGAATGCTGTGACTTAAGAACCAGGACTAGAGCTTTCACTCTGCCTGGTTATTCCATATGTTCACTCACTCACCCTCATCCCCTGTTAGTGAACTTCACATCAGTGTGAAGTTCACTAGGTGTCAACTGCTGAGAGCGCAATAATGAAAAAAATCATTTGTACTTTTACTGAACTTCACAGAATCACAGAATGGTAGGGGTAGTGTGTTCTTATTTAGTACATGAAGAAAATTGTATTTTTTAATCTGTCTTTCTTTGTAATATTGTTGAAGTACTTAAACCTCTTTTTCAAATTTGCTGTTACTAATACATTTTTTGAGGTTGGGCAAGAGGTTATGCCTACTGCTTGAAATCCTGAGCCAATCTGAAGAGTTGAGTACATATGTCTAGTATTCAGCAGTCTGAGCATCCAGAAATCATTTCTGTTATCTTCTTTCTGCAGGATGATCTACTACTTGGACCCATCAGTTCTTTCAGCTGTCTCCTGTTTTGTTATGTTCCTCTGTTTGGCTGATTATCTTGTTCCTGCTCTTGCACCTAGAATTTTTGGCTCTAATAAATGGTGAGGAAAGCTTGAATTAAAACAGTTTGACTGTAAATAAAATCTGAACTTTGTCAAAATGAATATCTGACTTGCAGATATCAAATGATTACTTTATAGAGTCATTATAGTATGAAATCGTCAGTCTCTATAATATATGAAGTGAGGATGGTAAGATGTCCTTCATTTTTCTTTTTCTGAAAGATAATTACTACAACATATATTTGTTCTTCTCTTCTAGAAAAACACGAGTTTTTTTGAAGGAGTAGGCACATTCTTTGCTCTCTTAAGAATGCTAGTTCTGCTAAACTAGTTATTAGTAGTTAATGGATAACAGATACTGTGAACTGAAATTATGAAGAAAATACTGTAATGCAGAGAGTATGAATGTGATTGAAACAGATTTGAAGAAGGGCAGGGCTTACATGAGAGCAGTAAGCTGGAGGAGAACCTTATTTGAACTAAATTTTGAGTTAAAAGTAAATTTTCGTCCATCTGCTTTAAGATGACCAGTGGATAAATGCTCTTGTCTAATAAGGAACTGGCACAAAAACCAAAGTAATACAAATGGGTATCAGGTGTGTATTACTTGTATGTATCACCCTGGTATTGGATTAAAATCAGTGGTCTTCTAGTTTGAATGTGGTTGCTCTTTGGGAGGCAGTTTGAGAGTCAGTGTACAGAAAAAAATACACGGGCAATTGCATTACCATGCTCAATAAAGATAAGGTATAAAACCAAGTGAAGCATATGCCAGGACAAGTACTGGATAAATTTTTACTGCTGAAAAAATATCATGGGAGACTTTTTTTAAATTTCATATGAGATCTTAAACTCTTATTTCTGGCTTTTTTCTTTAATAAAAGGACTACGGAACAGCAGCAAAGATTTCATGAGATTTGCAGCAATTTGGTAAAATCTCGTCGCCGGACTGTTGGATGGTGGAAACGTCTCTTCACACTGAAGGAAGAGAAGCCTAAAATGGTATTGAGTTCCAGGAGTTCATCTCTGTTCTCAAGATTTTCTTTGTTTTGTTTTGTCTTAAGTATTTTAGCAAGGCACGTGTCTGAATAAAGCTGGTATTTCAAACCAAGACCCAGCAGTTCTGGCTGTGACCTGATGCCAGTCACATGTTACTCAAACCTGGAGTGGCAAGATACAGGACTTCAAACTTGCAGTGCTGTGCAGTTAGGAGCATACCCTTGATACTAACATAAAGCTAAACTGGGTTTCTTTGGCTAGGTCAGTTCTGGAAACACAGCTTGTTTCTAGTGTACGTGATCTGTCCAGAAAACTAGATCTTACTAATGTGTTGGCTTAGGTACATGAACTATGGAGTTTACTCTCCTGAAAACAGCTTCAGGAACCCTGTGAGGCTCAAGTTGTCAGTGGGGATCTGACTCTAAGGCATAGCTGGACAGAAAAGAACCTGCGTCCTGTAAAGCTGGTGGTCTAAAAATAAATGAGAGCATACAATTGTAGACTCTGTAACCTCAATTTTAACAAGCCTACACGTGGGTACTGCATGTGGAAGAGCCAGCAAACTTCAAGTTAGTTTTAAATGTTGAAGTGTTGCCAGATGCTGAGGGGAAAGGGGAGAATTTCCAATAGATCTGTGATAACTGTTACCTTTTCATTTTTTTAGTACTTCATGACCATGCTTTTTTCTCTTGCTGTGGTTGCCTGGATTGGACAGCAAGTTCACAACCTGTTCCTGACCTATCTTATTGGTAAGTGTGCAGCATGCAAAACAGAAGGAAGTATTCTGTAAGCTGCCTAAAATGGTATGAGGCTGGTAGAAGTAAGTTTTGGCTGTTTGTGTGGTGATTTTTTTTTTGTTGCAGGATTTTTTTTTCTGTTTTCAAGCAGTTAATTGGGGCTTAAGAGAAGCAAGGAATTTCAAGGTGACAGGAGCTTGTTAAAGGAGTATTAATTACTTTTTTTTTCCTCTGCAGTAAGTTTCTTCTTGCTGTTTCCTGGACTAAACCAGCATGGTATCATTACAAAGTACATTGGAATGGCAAAAAGGGAGATAAACAAACTTCTCAAGCATAAGGAAAATAAAAATGAATGAAGAGTTTACTGCTGTTCACTCTTGTAAAAGGTTTCCTTGGGAACAGTTTTGAGAATTAACATATAATTAAGATAATAGAAGTTGTATTGCTCACTGGCTTTTTTTATTGGCTCCCTGATGAAGTGAAAATGTCACTCTAGCAACTGTGGTGGGTTTGTGTGTCTTCTTGCTGTGCTGACTGGGGTTCTGCAGCCTGCAGCTGATCTTCTGTGAAAGATCCTGACCTTGATGTATGGAGCTTTGTAAAGTGTCTTCACCAAACTAAGAGGCCCTGTAAATAAGTACCCCTACTCAAGAAACATCAGAGTTATGATGTGTGGTAGCATTTCTATGACTGTGTTAGTTTCACTGGTTGTTAATTTGTAGCTACTGCAGGTATGAAAGACAGTTCTGAAAATTTATGCTTCTTGGAGACTTGTTACTACTGATCCTTGTGGAAGGGGGACAATTAGTTGAACAGAATGATCATACTGAGGGTGCATACCCAAAATCGCTGCAGAAGGTGATCCTCTTGTCTCACTGAATCTGTTTGCTTTTTTTGGCTGCATATACCAGATTATCTGTTGAGTAGGTGTCTGGAATATATAAATTTGTAGTTGTTATTTAGCAGTAGTGTAAACTTCAACTTCTTGCGCCGAGACTGTAGAAAATGAGTTGTGTGGTGCGGGAAGAGTTGATTGTTCTAAAAACTGCTGTTGTCATGGAGCCGTGTACGCGTTTGGTTTTGTGAATGTGATCTGTATAAAAAAATCACCTTGAATATGGTAGGTTTGTCTCTGTAAATAAGCCAGTCTGAATTGTTTGTGCTTTTCTATGACCTCTCCCTCCTTTTTTATGAGCTTTTTTCTTTAAAGCTAAAACCTGTGTTAATGCATTTTAACAGTTGACTGTTTTAAAAATGAACTCAGTGTCTGTTGTAACTGTTGGATAGCTAAATACAGACTGAAACTTCGTGAAGTCTTGCTCGTTGTGACCACACGGAGAACTGCGCGAATGTCTGTCAGTCAGGAGCGGGGACTGGGTGCCGTGTGCAGTGTCCGAACGGGAGGATGCCTGTTGTTTGGAGTGGCTCACTGCGAGCAGTAAGACTTGTGTCAGCCTGGACAGTGCGCCGAGAGCTGCTGCTGCGGAGGGGGCT